TTGCAATAAATGTCGTTTTTTTTCTGTGTTGGTGCCGGCACAATTCAAATGTGTAATGAAATCACAACGAATATTGTGAGCGCAAGCGCCTCTTAACCCGAAAAAAATACTATCCGTACACACACACACCATTTACGCAATGTCTAACGAAAGTAAAAGTTTTCATGGTACATACCAGAAAAAAAATGCGACGTACGTGCGAAAATGGAAAAAAAATTAATCGTAACGTGCACCCGAATGCGAAACCCATGCAGCTAAATAAACGAAACATAACACTCAATAAATAGTCTCATTCTCTTTCTCTCCCATCCCAAGCAACGGGCAAATTTTCTATGTGCATGCACCCGAGCAGCGTAGCGTAGATAGAGCAGCAACGAGCAACGATAGAAACTGTGTAACGCAGATTTTCATCGTTAGCAAATTGCACGAATGCAAGGAAGCGATCATGGACATGCAAACAGTGAATTGTACGTCACACGCGCATGAAAAAAAAGAAGTAGGGAATCAATGGCACATCGTGTACATAATGGAGTGAGGCAAACCGATTTAGCACGTTGCACAAGGGGAAAATGCATCACATCGTCATTTGTGTGGACGATGAAGGCAACGAAACGAAAAAAAAATGTATTCATTGAAATTTCAAAATGCAATTTAGTCAAGATGCTTATCTAACTGTGCGCACAAACATTTGTTCAGCGCCTACCTTTGCCAATGTTGTTTTTTTTTCAACTGCCGCTGCTATTGCCTTCAGTTCAGTGACCATAAGAACTTTTGCGTTTCTCACGACATTCCCTTGCTTGGCTCGCACGAAATTTGATCCAGCTAAAATTACCCGATGCTTGAAACGCAACAGACCAAAAAAAGATGCATATCACATGATCGCTGCAAGACAACAGCGATAAAAAAATGAGAGAGAGAATTTTTCTGCGCTAGCAACGCGGCTAAACCATTTGAAAAAGTCACTTTTTTCACCGATTGCCAAAAAAACAAATTCGTACCGAAACGCATTTTGCACCATGAGCATCAACAAGCAATAAAAAAATGTAAATAGCTCGAAACAGATGAATGTAATCCATGAAATATGTCTACTAATGTCGTCTAACTGATGTCATATTCACCCACAAACCCGCTGTTTTCAATTCGGTCGCATGCATCGGAGGCAAAGAATGTACACAGTGGCAGAAAAAAACGACATCCGAACGGTATATCGACTGAAGGCACGTCTGTACAGACAATGTGCTGCCGGTTTGGATTCAATGTGAATTGCAAAAATGTTGGCAGCCGCCCGCTTTCTCTCTCTCTCTCTCTTTCGCTCTCACTGGATGTGGAGTGAAAATATTCAAAACATGGTTTTTTGTGTGCAATTTTTCATTGAAATCATGCGGCCACTTGTTCACATGTTCAAGCCACACGAACAGAACCACGTTTAGGTGGAAAAATTTCATTTGCATTTAGTTGTTTTGTGTGTTGACGTCGTTCCAACGAGCGAAAAAAAAGAGTTGTACATACACCACTGGATTATATGAACATCAACACTGACCATCAGCAGCGTCATCAACTCTGCTTCTCTCTCTCCACCCCCCTCTCTCTCTTACTCACTCGTAAAGAGTGAACGAGAGTATGACGTTCATTACCCAAATGCAGTGACTCCACCAGAAATATGCACACAAAACAACCCCAACAACGTAAACGAGCCAACGACGAACAAAAATCATCCAATGATGCCATGGAGAAGCGCACTCTAAAATAACAACAAAAAAACTGTGTAGAAAAACATTTAGCCGACCGTAGCATTAATAACAATGTGTTAAATGAAAATGAATGAAAACCAAACGAGCAAGAGCTCACAGAGGAAGAGCAGAAAAAAAGTAGTAGTAGCAGCAGCAGTAGCACATGGATAGAAAGAGGATTTTTTTTCTGGTATATACAAACGTCCACATAACCGTAATTGTAGGTCAAAAATCATATGGATTTATTTACTGATAATGAATACCATGATAAAGAGAAATAAAAAGCTGAGATCTGTATGCAGAAAGACCGGCAACCACACATACATACAGACAGAGAGAAAGAATCGACGAACAAACGACCGACCGACCGACCGACCGAGCAAATGAATGGAACGAAAATAATGGGAGAATGGGAAATCTTTATTTATTTTGTTGTGATACTGTCTAGTTTCGTTTTAGATTTCGTCTGTCGGTCGAACAGCAGCAGCAGCACAAACACACAAACAAAGTCGAAGAGAGTCAGTCGTATTCGTCTATTGCGATTATGTGCCGGGCGCTTTTATGTATTTTTTGATGAGACCTATAAATTAAAAGTTATAATTTTTCTCCCTCTCTCGATGCGCCGAGACTTCGGTTGTCGTTGGGTTCTCTCTCGCTCCGTGTTTGGTATTGAAAAAGAAAAGACGTTATGTATGAGAGCAAAAGAAAACTTAGCACATGGATAAAAGTTCTGAGACGCAATGTAAAAACTATACGAATCTATATTTATATACGTATGGAAAATGAATACATATGGTATTGAGAAAAGGAAGCTTTCGCCTTGGATAAATCTGGAATAAAAGCACACACATTAAATGATTCGTGTGTATTGAGACAATGTTATTATGCGGCACCATCATCATCATCATCATCGTCCTCATCGTTTCTTTTGATTCAATTCGATTCCATTCAACCCGGTATGTATCTACATATAGATACAAATACACAAGTAATAATTTATGTGAGAAAGAGAGTCCCATTCAGAACCATAAATAAAATTGCGAATCGGCAAAGGAAATAAATATGCGGTAGCATTGACCTAGGATATGTGCTCGCCTTTCCGCAATATCTCTTCTTTGCGTTTACTTAAGCATTTTGTTTTTATATTTTATAGGCTTTTATAAGTACCGAACTATATTTGTTTGCCATTTTGTGTGTGTATTCGCACATTCATTGACTGCTTTTATTTGGCCAGTCTGGTTGCTTGGCCTAATCGTAATACCCATAAAATATCAATAAAACACAAAATGTCTGTTCATTCATTCGCAAGATCAATTGCTGGTTAGACGCCACGTCCGCATCAATCTGTTTAAATAATTTATGAATTGACCAAAGACACATTACATTGGTGCTTATGTGCGAAAAAGTGAACGTCAATCACATTACATGTTCACGTAAAATATTATAAAGTTGACTGATAAAAGTGCTCCATGATTTACGAGATCATTTGCCATAATTTTATCACTTCACAAACAAAAATGAAATGTGAACATTTTATTTGCCGTTTGTCTGTTGCTTGCTTGCTGTCCGTAGCAATTTTTTGTGGATATTTTCTTCGCTCATTAGAGATTATGTAACGATACATTTTTTATTCACAACGACATCGACAAGGAGAAAATAAACAACAACTGAAACACTGTTTATTGTTTGCATTTTTTCCACTTCGTGCAGTGTGTTTTGTATAACGGGCAGCGGCAGCATCGGCAGCATCGGCCACCCTTTCGTGCTGACACGAATTCGGTGTTGGTGTGCATCCAGAATGCGGGCGGGCCTCCAAACACACCGTCGGCTGTAATTTCGTAAACAAAGCCACGTGCTTTTTATTCCATTTGACGATGTGCTGCGTCTATTCATTTTATACACAATTATATAGAATGGGAAAGCATCTGCACCCATCAGCAATACACATTTTGTGGAATGGATAAAAAAAAGTGTGTTTAAATGTGCCGAATCAAGAGAGAGAGAGAGAGAGAGAGAGAGAGATAGAGTAAATGTGCATGTTTCGTGTATAAATACACCGAGTGTAGTTGGTACATCGAGAAAACGATTCGAACGATGAAAAAATGTGCACATTCGCATACAGTGCCCATGCAAAAAGGATAGCGAATATGTATTTCAAGCAGCAAGCAAGTCAGAATTTTTCTCTGATTCCCGTGCCACTACAGTCGAACTGTATCAGCGTACGATTGCACGACAACCGTTTTGGATGCGTTACTGCCACTGCTAATGCTACATACTACTACTCTAAGCTTGGCAAACAAACTCGCCTCGCTTCTGTTGGATACCGTTCGTCTTCTTCTCTCTTTTTTTCGCTCTCTCTCTCTCTCTCTCTCTCTCTCGGTATTTTCTTAGTACTTTTTGCTGGACCATCCACCGGTTCTTTTCTATACATACACACTGTCGCTCTCCTCCCGAGCCCTCTCAACATTGTGATTATGTTCACGTTTTGAATTGCACAAAAGTTCACAGCAAACATATTTAGTATAATATAGACACATAAAGAAGCACAACGAAGCGCAGACACATTAAATCACATTATCGCCGTACGTCTCTTTTTCGCTCTGCGCTCGATGCTGTGCTGTGCTGTATGGCTTGTGTGCCGTGCTGTTGTAACAGCTATACATTATACACAAAATACATAAAATATTTTTTTTATTTAGTTGCTTTAGTTTATTTATTGGCTCGCTTTTGGCTTTCAGAAGGGTGGTCGTCGTTGTGAACGGTTCATATGTATGTATTTGCGAACAAGCTATATATCTACATGCGATTAATTCGTCTTTTGCCTTTTTTCCATTCCTTTCTATTTCTCTGTGTCTCTCAGTCCATAAGCTATGAGTAAAGACATAAAACCATAAGAGATTTATAAAGACACTTAATCGCTTCGACAGAACAACGTTTTGTGCTTCTGCCACTGCTGCTTTTGCTACTGCTACTGTGTGTGTTTGTGGCATTGCTTTTATTGGAGTTTTCTTATTCTCGCTTTCACCATAACTTATTATTAAGAAGTAAACACACTTTAACTTAACCGGCAATAAATTTTTCCATCGTCGGAAGAACCTGTTGAATGCTACAATTGAACAACAACAATTCATACAATCGACTCACTCGTTGTCTCTCTATTAAAATGATTAAACTGTCAGTTTTGCTGTTTTTTTTTGTTCAAACATACACAGTAAACTTAGTAACTAACCGTTTTTCTCTCTCTCTCTCCGGTTTCTCTCTGTCCTTTAGTACGAATGCTGTTGCGATGTCAGGCAACAAAGGAAAGCGGCCGTTGCGTCATTTGACGGCCGGCGATAAAATCGATGCAATTCAACGGATCCATGATGGTGAATCGAAGGCATCCGTTGCTCGTGATATCGGTGTTCCAGAGTCAACGTTGCGCGGTTGGTGCAAAAATGAAGAGAAACTTCGTAATATGTCACGTCAATCACAGCCCTTGGACAACAAGCTCAGTTTGGATAAACTCACCGAAAAAATGGCCGGCGATGCAATCAGTAGCCTATTGGGTACGCCACAGAATAAACGCGCAAAATTGGACACATCGTTGCCATTGAATTTTGGTGCAAACGGTGTGAATGGCAAATTGAAATATGAAGATTTTGCCAACGGTCGTAGTTCGCTCGGCAGTTTGGACATGGCAAATCTCGGCTTCAATGGATTGACTCACAGTGATTTCAGTGCATATAAATCGGCAAATGATTTTTCATCACCCAAATCGGCCAACGGTTACAAAGGATACGGTGCAGATTTCTCAAAGCAAAATGACCCAACAAAAGCCGATTTATCGATGGCGGCAATCAGTCCATTGTCCAGCCTAACACATTTGTCAGGCTTGGCACAGGGTCCGCTTGCACTGAGCTTCAATGAAATCGCATCAAATCTGAGCCTATTGGCTCATTTCAACAATTCCAATTTGAATGCAATGTCAGGCATGCCATCGATCGGCAACAATCCACTTGGCAACGGTAATAACAACGGTACCAGTAATTTGCGTAACGTACGACCGAAGCCCAGCTCAAGTTTAAGCCCACGCAACGATAGCGAAAAATCACAAGGACTCACCGTTAAAAATTTAGCCAAACTACAGAAAGCCACACCACAAGAAGAATTCGATATGCTGAGTAAATTGAAGAAAGCAAGCACAGCACCGACGTCACGCGAAATGGGATTCGATGATTCGCTCTACTATTGGATCAAGCAACAACAGAATATGGCCGGTTTGAATAATATTTACTCATCCGCAGCCAGTCCAAGTCGATTATCACCGATGAATCAGAATGGTAACAGCGGTCGTGCAAATGCATCATCGGCAGCGGCTATTCCAACTTCAACTACATCCCCGCCTCCCACAATGAACACACCACACACATCATCAACAACACCCACACTAGCTGAGGATGCGAAAAATCATGCGTGGCTCTTGCATTTGTACAAAACATTTGGAAGTTCATTGATCAGCAATATGGCAGCTGCTGCTGCTGCCGAAAGCAACGGGGATGCAACCAAAGCCACTGAAAATGGCCACGAAATGAAACCGTCAATGTATGAGAATATTTTGTACTCACAACTAACAAAGAATACATCAGCATCATCGACGCCGAGCCCATCCGATTCCATGAACAACAATGACAACAAAGAGGGCAACAATGGCAAACCCGAAGATTTATCACAGCCAAAAGGTTCACCATCGCAAAATGATCGCAGCACACCGACCAGTTCGATAAAAGTGAAATCTGAATCAGCCGGTGATGGTTCACCGGAAAACAATCGCACTGCCGAATCGTCGTCACCACTCGATGTTGCCGATTGCAAAGTGGGCATTATCAATGTGAAAAACATGCTGATGAATGACGCCGATAAAGTATGCTCCAGCCTACTGTCCAACACATCAACGGCAAATGTACGCGATCTTTTGGATGATTTCCTCTACAAAGCATCGGCCGCCAATAATAACAACAACACCAAGGATGCTGACACCAAAGACGATTGCGATGCATTACCATCAAGCCAACAAAACAATGCGGTCGAGAATGAATGCCGGCCAAACAGCCCATTCGAAGCCATCGAACACGGTGAACAATTTCTCAAGTGGCTCGAATCGTGCAGCGATCCAAGCATCACTGCCATTCAGGTAATGCAATTCAAAACACTGTTAAACAGCATCAAATCGAGTGCTGTACGAGCCGCGTCATTAGTGCAAATGTCAAGTGAGAATGGTTTAGCGGGAGCCGCAACATCGGATCAAGAACAACGAATTCGTATGCGCAAACGAAAATAGGAGCAACCAAAACTAGCCCTCAACTACGTTACAATGAATAACACACAGGACAACAACAACAGCGACAGCAACAGCATCATCAACAACCGCATTGATATCGACTGGCATTGGTGCAGTTTTAAGAGTCTTCACCAATACGACGACGACGATGACGATGATGCATTTTTAGTTGATTTTTTAAATTAAGCTCTATGGTATTACAAATAAAACAAATAATTAGCTCAGAGTTATTGCTCACGCCAACCAAAAAAAAAACGGAGCGCGCAAACACACACAAATTTTACTCGAAATATACACGTATGTTATATTAAAAATTGTATGGAAAACTGAAGCAGCCGTAAAGTATTTATAATCTAACCTGAATTATTGAGAGAGAAAAAAAAGAGAAGAATTTTATTGAAAAGAAACACAAAACAGCAAAGATTAATTGACTGCTCATTACATCTGCTGGGATTTGTTTTTGTTGATTTCAAAATGTGCTAAAATCTTAGAAAGAAACTAAACTTAAACAACAAAATATATACACACACACAAACACATCATATAGACATGAATGCCACACACTTGATAACCAAATACGTAATAGCAAACATATGTAATTTTAATTGTAGTTCCGATCGAAAAATACGAAATTAACAAAACATTCAAACTGATTGCTCAACGTAAACCATTTTAAAAAAAAGAAGAAATAAGATATCATGAGTTTGTTTTTTAAACGATGATTTTTCAATGAACATCATTTATTCAATATAACTTTAATGGAGTCAACCCTCTAAAAGAAAATTTTGTAAATAAAATTGAAATGGAGAAAAAGAAGAAAAAAAAACAAAAACTATTTAAAAGGAGAAAAAAATCTTTAGCACATTCCACAATTAGAACATTCATATGAAACATATACGTAAAATCAACAATATTTTATATTCAATTCTTGTAAATAAGCACATGCGCCATCATTCGGACATGGAAGTAAATTAAACCATTTATTTTGAAATCTATTGTACACGTTTAAAGCATAACAAAATAAAAGAAAGAAAAATATACACAAAAAACAACACATACAAATCTATATTTAGGCGAGATGAAGTAAAGTGGAAAAATTCATAAGAAAATTCAATGTTATCATCGTTTCATTTCTTTCTTTTGCTCTCTCTCCCCAAACAAAAAATATATATTCAATTCATTCAATATATTTAGCTATTAAACAGAAAGAAGATAATTCAGTGTTTTAAGGCAACAATTGAGAAATTTAAAAAAAACAGTTTTAGGTGGAATATAGAGAAGTAGAGCAATTCAAAGTTGAAAAGAGACGATTGCAATGAAACGCATCCGACTTTTGAATGCAACAAATATACGTAACACACAGTTCTTCTGAACCATTGACATAAAGAGGAATAGCCCCCCAAATACACACACATGATACGTAGCTAAAATGCTTCATTTAAGAAACACAGAATGTGTGCTCACGAGCACAGTCACATTAAGTTTCATCATTCGGTTCGATCTTTGTATATAAAATGGACACTCAAATGAATATCATCGCAAATTCTTGCATCACAAATTAATTTTAGACCAATTTACGTTCATATCCAATTACAATTGTGTTCTATTCTATTTTTTTAATTTCCTGTTGTAAATACTCATGAGTTTAATGGACACAATTCGACACACTTTTTATTTCTCGGATTCGAAGAATGAAAACAGTGTATTCTTTCCTGATTTTTTTAGTTAAATTTTTTTTTCTTGGTTCAATTTGAAGTTGTTTTGAGTTGCAAACGAGCCAACAGCTCATAATTAATCGTCATTTATCAACATCAAACGCAACTAAATGAATATTAACATAAAGAAGATGAAAGAAAACAAAAAAACAATGGAGGCGTATTTAAAATTAGAAGTACTCAATTTTAATCTTATTGTGATCTCTCTAATACATAATTCCAATGGATAGAAAAATAAAATAATCGTAAACTTAATTCAAAAAGACAAAACAACACAAAAAAAACTATTGAAAAGATGACAAAAAATTGCAATGAAAAAATGACTCAAAACAAATCACATGTTATAAATGTATAAATTACAAATGAAAATGAATTTAATAAAATCTTTCCCGAATAAAAAAAACAACAACGAAATTGTTCTATATTTATTTACCAATTGAAGTGGATTTTTCAGCGGTTCATAGGTGATGAAATCGGCAACAAACTGTGCTGGACCATCCCAGCAATCGATTAATTCGCGGAAGAGAGACGAAGTCGGCCGCACGGTGGTTGAAACAAACTTTTGAATGGCACATTCATTGGGAATGGCCAATACAAGTGGCTTGCGTTCTGGATAAGTGCTGACAAATTGTCGTCGAAAGGTTTCGGTGAAAATTAAAAGCAATCGCTCTCTTGCACTAAATGTGTAATATGTATCAGGATATTCACTATAAGCATCTGCGTCAATGAATTCGAGTAAAATTCTGCCGACGTCATTCTTTGAATCGAACACTTTCTCTAGCTCAGAATTATTGTCGTCACTCTGTACACTTTCTCTGCTGCCGACTCTTTCGTCCAATTCATTAATTGGCTTAATTACTTCACTTTGCTCGTCCATCCCGACACGTGCTTTTGGGAAAAAAACCTCCGGCGCGTCATAAACACAACCGATTAGCACGCACGTCTCTAGGCAACGGTCTGATTCGAAATGTTGAAGTTATTTTGGGCGACTCCACACTAACAATTTCGTTGGAATGTGCTCCACTTGAATCTCAAAACGTTTCGGGTGACCATCGATAGAGGGCCGATATCATTCGAGATTTTCGAGGGTGATTCAACATAGATCTTCTTAGCATTTGTCTCATTTTTATTCTTTAATCGAAAAGATTTCGGTAAAAAATTATGTTGTATGAAAGAAATTAATAAAATCGCCAAAAAACCTTTTCGATTGTATTTTGCATCATTCATTATCTTCATTAAATTCAACAAAACTGCCAACGACCGGTTTGAATGTTGTTGATGACTTTTTACCTGTTTGCTTCCATAGTGACAAGTGTTGTTGTTACCTTTCCTTTATTCATAGTTCTTTGACAGCACTCAATGGTCAAGTTAGCGGCAACAGTGTCTCGCGCGAGTGTGAGTGCGTGTGTATTTGTGCAATGTCAATGAATTCCAACATCAAATACGCATATTAATAACAAATCAGAAATTACTCAATTCCGACATTAGTGTCAAACACGTAGCAATTTCTACCATTTGTTTACAGCTCGGCAATACTTTCTTCGTTATTTTCTAGTGAATTAGTTTCCATTGATTTTTTTAGTCCATTTCTGTTCACTCATTATTCATTGACTTGAGTTTCATTCAAGTTTTGTGATCTTATGAAAGTGTTTAGGCAAAATTAAATTGAAAAGTTGTAAATTTTCAAAATTTCATTAAAGTTTTTATTCAAATTATGTGCTCAATTCGATTAGTTTTACAATATGACGAGTGTAAAAAAAGCAATGAGTAATAAAGCCCATTCAAATGACTCGGGGAAGAACAACGCTAAAAATCATGGTGAAATGTAAGTTCGGTTCGTTGTTGAAGTGATCATTGAAATTAATTGAAATGGTTTCGTTTGCAGGAATTGGTATCTGTTCTTTGGCCTCGTTCTACTTACGATGGCTACAAGATTTTATAAAGTCACTGAACCCGATCATGTCTGGTAAGCTGGATGAAACCTTTTATCAAATCCTCCGGAGAATTGAATTTCATTCAACTCACAAGAGATTTATAGTCGAAGGATATATGACTTGAGCATGATATTTGGAACAGTTTACGAACTTTGATTCAAATAAATATGGGAAATATGCTCATGTGATTTGAAAATTTGCATATTTTAAAACATGAGTCAAATGTTAAAAATGGCTAAATGGCAAAAAAATTATTCTTCAAAATGAACATCATCATTCGCTGCCAACAAAAGAAAATAGGTCAAGTGACAGTTGGAGAGAAAAAAACGCGGTTTGAAGCAAAAAAACCGTTTTTGTCTTCATAAAGCATGCTTAATTTTTTTCTCTTTTGATGATTTTGTTTTCAAACTGTTTGTTGCAGCTGGGATGAGACGCATTTCGGTAAAATGGGAAGTTGGTACATAAATCGGACGTTTTTCTTTGACGTGCATCCGCCATTGGGAAAGGTGTGCTGTTAATTTTTTTTTTCAAATTGAAATGAGACCAAGCAAATTAACAGCAACCATAAAGTGAGCTGAACACGGCACATTAAATGGTTCATTATTTCTGAGAAAACTGAGCAACATCATTTTCATTAAGTGCAGCAATAGTTGTGGTCCACAAGTCATGGACTTCGTCATCGTCGCGCCGCGCGCGATTTTTTTGTTTCTCTTCGTCTTGTTTCGTTTGGTTGTTTATGACGAGTACACGATTTTTTTTGTCTCTGTGTTCTGTTATACTCTTTTTAGATGTTGATAGCGTTATCAGGCGTGATGACTGGTTACAACGGCACATATCCATTTGAAAAACCGGGCGATAAGTATAATGGCACTGCTTACGAAGGGATGAGACTGGTAAATGTTTGATGTTCTTAATTACTATTTTGTGTGTTTGTCTGAATTTAATTGAATTTTTTCCCTTTATCCGATGCTCTCTCTCTCTCTCTCTCGCTCTTGATTTAATCTGTAATCAGTGAGTGACGTAAAATAAATATTATCATACGCTTGGTTTTATTTTAACGAGCACTCGACTGACTTCGCAGAGAATGAGAGAGAGTCAGTGTGTGTGGGCCATAGCACGCAAAAAAAGCACGAGAAAACTAATTAATTTCGTTCGTCGACGAACCTTTGGCGTTTGAACTGGACGCCGTGCAAAAATAAAATCTAACTCTCTCTGTTTTCCATGTTATATTTTTAGTTTTGCACAGCGTTGGGCGCAATAATCGTGCCGATGGTGCATGTGACCGTGTACGACCTCATTGAATCGGATGTTGGGGCACTTATTTCAAGCTGCTACGTGCTGTTTGACGTTGGAATGGTGACTTTAAATCAATATATTTTATTGGATCCGATTTTGCTGTGCTTTATGACGGCATCCGTTATGGGCATGGTTAAAGTGTCGAAAGCAACACATAATCGTCAAACATTTACATTCAAATGGTGGAGTTGGCTTTTGTTCACCGGCACCATGATCGCCTGCACCATCAGTGTGAAATTCGTTGGTCTGTTCGTGATTTTATTGGTCGGTTTACATACAATCAATGATTTGTGGATCGAATTAGGCGATTTAACCAAACCAGTTGTGAGTATATGAGTAGTGTAGTGTAAATGGTCGAGGCCATTGAGTGCAGCATATGTGTGTGTGTGTGTGTGTCGCACTGCATACACCGACCGAAAAATCAAACCAAATTCAATTTGAATTCCCATGACACTAAAAATATATTTAAAATTTCAACATCAAATGTCGGAAAATGGCTTGTTACCATTTATCAATTTGAACACTTTTTCTGTGTGTTTCGCACTGGAAAAAAGTGACAAAAAGTGCGCACCGGGAATTAAATTAAATTTGAAGGATGTCCGTGATTTTTTATGGGAGTTTCCGTGTAACTTGTCTGTTTCTCGCACATATATATTTTTGTTGGAATTCTTTTTTTTTGCGTTGATATTTTTTTCTCCCTCACTTTTTCTCTTGTTCAAAAATTAATCCAACTTTTTCTCCATTTAAACCAGGTTGAAATAGTGAAACAATTTGTTGGCCGCGCTGCAACGCTCATCGTCTGGCCAATCATTTTGTACATGTGCTTTTTCTATATCCATTTGGAGGTGCTAAATCACAGCGGAAACGGTGACGGCTTTTACAGCTCAGCATTTCAATCACAACTAATTGGAAATTCCTTGCATAACGCAACGATGCCGCGATCAGTGGCTTACGGTGCCGTTTTAACATTGAAAAATTACAAAACGGGCGGTGGATATGCTCATTCACATCATCACCTGTACCCGAAGGGCTCGGGTGCCCGGCAACAACAGGTATGTTCGTTTGCAGCATATTACAACTGTCTGCTACACAATTCTTTTCTACGAATGGTAAAATGAAATGAAAGTTATTGGCTGCGCTCATTCGCTTGTCATTGACTCTCTCCTGTTGAAATCGTTATTTTATTCAAAGAATTTACACACTTCGATGAAGCAGCGTATTTCAACTGGATTCAATTCCAAGTGAAGCTCATTTTTTTCGACAGCTATCGTTTTTTCGTATTCGTCTGAAATGCGAAACATCTTTTGTGATTTGCACACTGTACTCTTGATACTTTCACTTCATCACAACAATGATAGACAAAGAAATCCCACGCAAAATTTTGTTTGTTTGAATGCACACAAGAGCTAATAAAAAGCAATAAACTTCAGACAAATATTTCATTTGCCATTCGATTGGGTTCTCGTTTTTAATGTAATTTCACTTTTATCTTTTTTTCCTATTTTCTTTCTCGTTTTCCTCCTCTGTTTCTTATTCGCGCTTGGCTCGTTCCATCACACCTTTTGGCCCCGGCGCTTTGACTCTTCGTCTGCCACTTTTGCTGTTTGTGTGTGTTTGCTCGACGCACGAACGATTCAGATAACGACGTACACGCACAAGGACGAGAACAACAAATGGCTGATAAAACCGTATAACGAAGAGATTAAACCCAATGAAAAGGATGTAGTGCTTGTTAAACACGGCGATCTAATTCGATTGGAGCACATTCAAACGAAACGGAATTTGCATTCGCATCGTGAACAAGCGCCGCTCACAAGAAAGCACTACCAAGTCACTGGATACGGCGAGGTAAATGATCGTAATTTATTCATTTTCATTTTCATTTTGGCCCGTCTGTTTCTCTCTTCCTCTTGCTCGCATCGCTCCCTTTTTTTTCTGCTGACGTTGCTACTCTTCAATTCTTTTTCGTGACGTGTGGCATTCAGCGATTCGGCATTCGAAGGTAAAACGGACGCATTGCACGTTCCACCACGATGTGCATACCTAATTTAACATCAAATGATTTGCATCATCGATTTTGGGTTTCGTGGCTGATTGCGTATTTTCACAAAATCGCCAAAAATTATCTGACGAACAGCCAAGTGTCAAAGTCAACCGGGACACGAACACCATCCTGGTGGCGCGATGGTGGAATACACACAACAAAATGCAGACGAAAAAAAATGTGTAGCGAAACGTAAATTACCAAGTCCAGTGCGGTCGTTGGCCATGGGCTGTGTGATGTACGGTTTGAAAATTGCGCGCACGGAAAAAGGTTTTTTTTCCAATTGCCCAATGTGTAACGAATGATTGCGGTGGTTGGTCCCCCCCCTCTCTCTCTCTCTCTCTCTCTCTCTCTCTCTCTCGCAGCGTTGATTATTCACTGAAACGCAATTATAAAGTTGATACAGTTGCGCTGACGCTGGACCGGTCGGAGAGAACCCCGGATGAAATTTGATGGAAATTGGCATTTTGCAGACGACAACCACTTCAACCGAACATTATCAAATTCATTACGAATGCGAAATTGGTGCGATAAATTCTCGTTTTGTAACTGTCACTTCAATTTAAAATTGACAAAGAAAAATCGACATTTAAATACTGATCCCGACGACCTATGATGCGATGCACCACACTGGCTTTTTTCTGCCTTATTTCTTCCATTTTTTTCTCGCTCTTTTCATCTCTATGTTTCTCTCTCCTGCGCTCGCGCTGAGTCGCTTTCGATTTGACAAGATATATGATTGCCACTTGCAACCATTAAGTTACTTTTTTATTCGGATGGGCGACCGACCCTCAGGTTCCAACAATGAACTTTTTCTTTCGAAATCGATTTCCGAGGCATTTGATCCTTCGTCATCATACCAGAGACGATAGCGAGAGCGAATAAAAAGTCGCTAGCTTTTCCGTTCACTCAAATTGCCTTCATTCACATCAAATAGATGCTCATTCAAGTAGCAAACCAATAATAAGTAAAAAAAAATCTCCATCCACACGAATTTCAATGGAATTCGACTACATTTTTTGTTCATCATCCACGGTTTTTTCTCGTTTTCGAGAATCGAATTTTATTCTCACATATTGACACTAAAAACTCGGCGAAAAATATCGGTGCGATCAAAAACCAGTGGAGCGTATGGATTGTATTGGAATGGAATGGTAGATCTATACATTTGGCTCTTCGCTACAATTCACTCCATCTCTCTGTATATATAGTTGATTTTTCGATGTAGAATTTCATTTGACCTGGATTCAGTGTGCACGAAATGGAGAAAACTGTTTTACAAAAATAAAACACGGACCGAATGAAAAATGCCCATGTACATTGTACAATGCCAAAATCTGCATTTCAATTCGTCGAATGATTAATTTATCTTAATTTCATTGTACCGCTTCCTGGGTTGAATAATAGTAGCAATTGTCAATCCAATGCCAACGCCGGACGCACAAATGCGCCCACACACAATTTGAGATTATGTGCCATTTTCCGCCCACAATCCTATATCGTCTTCAATTTATGTTTCTTCTTCTTTTTCTTTCTTTACTTGATTTTCATACACAATAAAATGGATTTTCAATTTGGAAACTTTTTGACAACTGCTGTTAATGTTGTGCACTTCTTTAAACCACGAAAACAACAACCAAATCGACAACAACGACGACGACTGCGAAAACGATGGCGATGAAATCAAAACTTTTCATGTGCGCTCTCTCTCTCTCTCACCGCACATTAAACCGTCGCCCAACAATGAAAAACCTCAAAATGATTTTCGAAACATCGGTACGTGGCGTTGAATGATTTATGATTTGACTGCAAAATTACATAATATCCTGTATGTGTACGATGTTCGTGCATCTCTTCACCTCCACGCCGCCTGGGGCGGATCTGAACGACGACTTCAAACATTAATCGGATTTCAAACAATAACAACAATAACGGTAACAACAACGACGACGACGACAACAACAACAGAACGGCATTGGTGATGCGAATGACATCTGGAAAATTATGATCGTTGGTGGTCGTGAAAACGAACCCGTTTTAACCGTAACCAGCAAACTACTAATCGTACATTATTTACAAAACTGTGCGCTCACAACAAGCGGAAAACAATTACCAAAATGGGGCTACGAGCAACAAGAAGTTTCATGCAATCCAAATATACGCGATCCGAATGCATTTTGGAATGTCGAGGATAACACTTTTGATAAATGTAAGTACATTTTGTGCGGGCTTTTTTATCCACCGTTCATTTCTTTCATCCATGCATGAGTTTTACGTTATACAGCATTACGAAAATTTCCATTTCGAATCAATTATTAACGGAGTTATTACATTTATTGCTAGTCGAGCACTTTTGAATCGATTCTCTCTCGTCTCTGTCTCTCGCTGGTTTTGTGTCTGTGTACGATGTACATAAGCCGAAAAGTTTTCGACTCGATTACCACCGACGAACGAATGAACGAGCGAACAAATTGCATAACTATACAGCGTTCAAACTGAGTTTAAGCGATTTTGGCCGCCAACATCAAGATTCAAAACCACAATGAATAACTAATCGCATGAGAAATAGCTGAAAATCATGCCATCGATTCGGCTTGAACGCAAGAAATGTCTGTGCATGTTGAAATGGCTCTAACGCCATAATCGAAATATTTCTTGGAATTGTTTACATTTAACATTTCTTCAATCAAGTCCAAGCATCAAAATCAATTTAAAGACCATAAGTATGAATTAAAGCCCTCTTGATGATGGATGCTCGTTCGCTCGCTCACTAGTCCAATGTTCAAGCGTGCCGCGCTGTTCTATTGCAATTCGCTGAAATGGCACGATACTCATTTCATGAATAATTCATGCAAGTTTCATACAGATGTTTACCATTCGATTTAATAAACTTTGTACAACTGTGTGCGTTTTCAAACGAGAAAAATGGTTGCAAAGTCGATGAAAAATAAAGTTCAACGAAACAAAAACAGCTTATAATCAAATAATTTACAAAAAATATCATTCGGGTATTTATTTGAACGAGTAAAGCAATAGCATTCGGTTAAAATAGTTGCCAAATATATAGAATAAACTTGTGAACCACCGAAAATCAGGAAGAAAAATATTATATGGTGAAAACAAAACGTCGTCATTTTTTTTCGCTTGTTTTCTCGATTCGTGAAAATAAAACTTCGTGTTTGGAGTGAAAAAACCGAGCGAGAAAACCGAATAGAACAGAAATGATATATTGATTTTTGCCGTCTTTGGCAACATAAAATTTTCGGTTGAACTTTTGCTATTTCAGTATGGTGCGGGGGGATTTTCGGCCTGTTTTTTCAACCAACAACTTCCATGTGCGATGCTATAGCTCGAAAAACGAAAGAATGGTTGGCAAACGTGATTCCACCGCTGATAAAATACAAATAATACACATTTGTCGATTGATATGGCAAAACGTGTTCTTTTTTTGGTAATGGAATTGTTGCTGTTGTTGCGCGAACAAGAATTCAAATGGCTGAAAAAAATATTGTTATTTCAATATTAATGCATGTTTGAGATGTTTTGCAGCGAGAAGTATCAATTCAAACAAAACCGTCTGTTTTTCCATTGCTATGTGTAGATATATGCGCGTACTGTGCTCTACGGATAGAAACCAGTTACGGAACATTCAAACAAACAAGCACCAAAGAAATAGAGAAAGAGAAGAAGAAAGAAAAAAAATGGTCTGAACTCGAACATGAGATCATTTTAAACGAATAAAATACTCGAACAAAAATTCACTTATCGGGAATATGTTGAAACTTTTTTTGGTTCGGTTGTTCATCGCAAACAAAAACTCCTTTTCAAAGATGAAGAACAACTTCATTGCAGCAATACCAAGATGTATATGATTGGATAGCATTTTTGTTCCGCACTGCAAAGGCTTTAAAGTAAAATCGATAAACGTGTGTTTTTTCTCTCGTGCAATTGCATTTCGACATTTGCTCATTTGAAAAGCATTGATATATTTAATTGAAAAGTAGTTCTCAAATTGTTTAACATTTTCTTTCCGACGCCAGGAATTGAGCTGAAACGAAAGCTCTTTACTTAGTTTTTGTTTGCTTGCCGTAAAGTCTCGATTGAAGGAGGAGATTTTCCAAGTGAAAAAAAATACCTATTCAAAACTGAGAAAAACTTCCTTTCTTTCGAAAATGTCAGAGCTTTTCTATAAACAGATTGTGAATTCAAGACATTTTGTTATGCACTCGAAACTGAATAATAGGGAAGCCAACAGAATTGAAACGACATATCTTTATAATTTTCAATTTTTTGATCAAGAGTCTTGATTCAAGACATAGCAAGAAGAAGTTGCTTTGTTTGCTTGATTTGACGTTTTGGTGAAATCAACAACTCGCCAAAGTTTCCGGGGCAAAAAAACGTTTCGGTTTTTGACGAGGTGTGTGTGTGTGTGTGTGTGTGTGTCGAGAAAAGGAATGTAATCCCTTGTGATTGGGGTTAAACAGTATCGCTATTGAAAAGTTTGTCGACGAGTCACTGTAAGCATAAATACTTCTCTCTCTCTCTCTCTCTCATTCCCGCTTTCTCAAATACACACTTGATATTCCCTCAAGCAAGTCAAGAGGCGCTTTGGTGAATAAAGCGTGCAACAAACGAAGGGAGCTAAAACATGCTCCACTTGCTGCGCTGCTATTTATTTCCAATAAATTCGCGTGTGTATCATTCCAAAACAAAAGCAATACAAAACGAAAACGCTTTAAACAAAACTTCGTGTGAGTTTTTCCTTTGGCATGTCGCATTATATTCATATCCGCTTTTCTGCGCCTACTCTTCCACCCTCAGCCACCACACTCTAATCTCATTTTTGACAAACAATAAGCCGCTCGACTTTTTGTTCACCAAATAATAATTATTATTCCAATGTTTTATGATTCATTTAATGTTCTGGAAACGCATACACTTATGCGCACGCAACAATGGCACACACACATACACACTCTCCACACTTATGATGACGATATGTGTTCTGTTTTTATAAAATTCGGTTCGTAAAAACCGAATGAACATGCAATGAAATGTGCTTGTCGCCCGAAATTGAATGAATCCAGCGAATATAACATATTTTTCGGGGGAATTTCGAATACATCACGAATGAATATGTTTATGAGTAATTTAATTCATTTCCGTGTTTGCGTTTTAGTGGTTTTCAATTAAGTCACACGTGACTACCCAAAGAAATGGGCACCACCGTCATCATCATAATATCGTCATAAGCGTCATCATTGTCATTGTACATGTACACACTACACAGTATCTAGTGTATGTGCACAAGCAAGTGAATATGAAAATTGTGAATGTTAATCATAAGAACGGTGAATGCAAAAAGAGCTGTGCTGCAGCTCTATACAAGACTCAATAACATCCGGTGCGATGTCTGCATTTCATGTCCTCAATGTATTCGCAAAAACATGTGTTTTTAATTCATTTTCATTTTTTGAAGTCCTTCAGTGCGAAATTCGGTTTCACAACCAGGCTTAGACAAGCTCACTGTGTGACAATCTTGTTGAGAGAATGATATTCTCACCGTCGCCATTTCCATTTTTCAATTTACGCCCCATTCATCTTTCAACAGAAATTTCTTTTCAACAAAGGCAAACAGCGTTTGACACATTGTTGAGTTGAATATTTCCGAAGAATCTGTATAAATGCCAATTTCGAGTATTTTTTCTATACAAAAGAGCTTCGTTTTTTTCGGAAGACAACGCCTTAATTTTCGATTTCTTTTCCCTTCGCATTTGTGCAAGAGAATGTTTCTTAAGTGGGTTTATCTATCGACTTTACGTCTATATTGAATCGATCGAATTTGGCTTACCGTATTTAAATAGCTTAAGACACATCCATAGTAACAAGTTGGCTTTTGGATTTCGGCATAGTCCAACACAGACGATAATATCAACATAAGAATTTTACCTGCTGCACCGATTCGAATTACCTTCAGATTTGGCTGAAAACCATGCTCTCTCACCACTATTTACCAAAAAAACTGAAACACTCTCACTCTCGCTTATCCTGAGGGAAAGAAGTTGTCAGTTGTGATCTATCTAATTGACGGGCAAAGTTGTTGAAAATCAGAGAAGAATTTCATTTTAATAATTATTATCTTTGGAGAGCCAGCATCTTGAAACTTTACGAAACGTTCACCGGCAGAGAATATCCATTTGAATTATCTATGAAGTGATGCGGTATTTTCGGAAAAGTTGAGTGTTACGTATTTGACAATTTGAATGTAGCGATGTTAGGTAGTGGTAGGCATTGGCAGGCAAACAAGCGAAACAAGTCCCCGAGAAGGAGGTCAATGTTGCTAATTTGTCTTATCAAAGGTAATTTGGAGCGTTAAATAATGTTCTCTAGTGAGTTGCCCAACTCTGTGCGCCATTGTGTTGATAAGATGTGTCTCGGAGAAAAATAGTCTAATGCTCAAATTTGTTGAAAACTTTTCGTACGGCTCCCGAATTCACAATGGCAATACCCCATTCCATAGTCGCTTCAGTTGTTTTGTATTGTATTTTAGTTGATGGGCCGATGCCAGCAAAATGATACAATTTGTCCTTCAGTTTATTCGTCCCTTTTCGACAATTTTCGCACTTGATGTCGTTTGATTCGCAATCGTTTATTTTCCGCACAACGAAAGAAAACACTGAAATTATGACACATTTGCGCCATGATTCGATAAACTGTTACTGCCGCTACTGCTGATGTGCTATGGTGTCCTCAAAAAGCCTTTCTTCTCGGGCTCAAATGTCAAAGGTAAGCTCGCAATTTTGATATGAAAAGAAGCCCAATAGTCTATGTACACACTGGCAGTGAGTGAGAGAGAGAGAGAGAAGCCACACGATACAATAAATAGAATGGTGTCAAAAAATTTGTCGTTAGCTCACGCAAGCATTTCTTTATATTGCTCTGGCGTCTATTTACACTGCCATCAGATTCGGATATGGTTGGCAAAAGTAAAAAGTGTGTCTCTCTGTGTATGTATAACATATTCCCAAAAAGCCAATTGAGATTGTTCACAAAGCGTCGCTGGATAATGTAATAAACGTCGTCGTAATTTCGTTGGGTCCCATTCACCGCCGACGACGACGATGACACCAACACAAATATAGAAGGGTTAAAGAGAGAAGGAGGCGAGGTGGAGGAAAAAAAGTAGCAAACGCTTGAAGTAACTGATCTGAACGACAACAAAACATACATAAAAAAGGTGTCATCTTACCAAAGTCCTAATCAACGAAATGCGCTCTCTTTCTCTGTGTAACACGTCGAATGGTAAATACCACTCGACACACAACCGACAAACGAGAGAGTGAGAGCGAGAGTATATTCTCAAACATAAAAAAGGCAAAAAAGAAGAAGTGTCGGCATTTGCACAAGAAAAGCAAGAAGATTCAAGAAAAAAGTCAGCATAATCATGAAAAAAGCCAGTGAAAGAGAATCATCGAATGAAAAGATATCGATGCAAAGTGGAGATGGAAAAAAAGGCAGACGAAGGAAAACAGGAAATAAATGTTGCTTCTTGTGTTATCAGAAAGAGAAAATGTTTGAATTCGTTTCGACTAAAAAGAGTGTTGTAGGCAAAGTATGGGTGTGTGAGAGAGGCGAATGCCGGAGAAGCTTTTAAATATAGGAAGTGGAAAATATTGTGAATTTATCAGTTCTTATTTTCGATTTTCAGTGTCAATGCATCCAATGATTGCTTTTCGTCAGGTTTGTCAGTCGCCTATTGTCATTACAACAACCCATCCTCACTTCATGGGCCCAGCTCTTATCTTGCTAAACCTATTCGCAAACGCCGCATTCCTTTCTTTACCCCACCGCTTTCACGTGGCAACGATACGAAATCGCACAATAAATATTGCCAGAAACTTTTTTCTTCTTTCTCCATTCACTTCGATCTATTCTGCGATTGAATTACCTTGGCTTCGCTTTCCCGTTTCATTCTAATTCAATTTGCATTTTTGCGTCGTCGATTCAGCATCACTTTTGTTGTTATATTTATTAGGGCGGAATCGTTCGATCGAAAGGTTGGAAATGTCATTCGATTTGGTTTTGCTTGTGTACAGTTTCCGTTTTGTTGATACACGGTACGATATATATATATATATATATATATTGACGTTGAGTACGCTCTCACACTCTCTCTTCCACAATATTCCCCAGGTGATGTGCAAACAATAAAATCAACAACAACGATCTTTCGACGACTCTTTTTTTATCGGTGAAAGAAAATACGCTCACCTCAGTTTATGCTATCATTTCGGAATCATCACAATTCGTTCATTGCATCTCGAGGGGCGGCAAATGCCAGGCACAAAAAGAAGAAATGTTAATATTGTTGAAAATTGTCTATAAATATGTATGCTATTTGCAGTCAGTGTAGTCCTTGGTGTAGTCGCATTTAACTTCAATTCAATTGTTGAACAATTGCTGATATTCGATGTACACAGATGGATTGTGTATAAGTCAATATGTCAACGTTCCTGCCGTTGCCGAACATATGCGATCTGATACAAGCAAATAAACAAGATGAGAAAAAAGTAATCGAAAGCGAACGCGAGCATTAGGGCCGATCGAAATGCATTCAACGAACAATTCAACTCAATAAAATGGTGGGAATAGACTTTTATTTGATTCGATAGAATTGCTCGATCGCTCCTAATTCAAATATCGAACGGAATGCGGAGAAATGAAAAGAATGATGATTGAACACAAAATGGAGTTAAACAGTTCCGAAACATGCGAATGTCTCCGAGAGATTTGAATGGAATGCAAATAATTTTGTATACCGAAATTCAAACCGTATTCGTTTCTCTTTTTTACTCCATTTCGAATTTCGCCTTGTCGCAATAAGCTCTCGTTTTGCAAGTAAAATCTATTGAAAACTGTATTAAGCCATAACTGTACGTTTCGATTTGTCGTGTTTACATATAAATTAAAGCTGATGGCATTTGTGCCATTTTCAAAACATATTCTTTCCCAATTTAATGATACACACACACAACATAATATTGATTTTGGCTTTCATCTGCCAGAATGGCACCGCTGTTGCGAAGTAAATTAATCGAAGAAAATCGATGATATGAATGAAGAATGAGAGCTGTGAATGGAGTTCAACCACAGGCAATATAAATCATCCATCATACATTGATAATGGCCATAATTTAAAGTGCAAACGCTGAATCAACGCGGTGGGCTTTTAAGTGAAGAGCATGGGAAAAATCATGGAGCGTCGATTAATGCAGCTAAAACTAATATTAAAAGCACTTTGAAAGGGCTGCATTTTTTATGACATTATTTCATGTGATTTTAAATTTTACAAAAAGTGATGCCATATTTGTTGATATGCGACGAATGAATGTTTCTTCTACATGAATTAAATATTATTCATTTTTTCTCATGCTCACTTTGCATAAATAGCTCTGCAAATAAGTTTACTTTACTTTCTTGCTTTTACGTGAAGTTACTTTGTAGATAAGCGAACATATAAAAAAACTGACTTGCTAAGTAAATTTCGAAAAAGCGAAACCTTATAAAAAATTTAGCATCCCGAATGCCGTAGTTTGGCAAACAAACACACACACACACACGCAATACGAGCTGTCGACTTGCCAAAAAGTTGGAGCTCGCCCGTGCACGCTCAATGCTATAAATGGAAAACATGTGCCGGCAAAATCGAAATCAAACAATAAGCGAATAATTCATAGGCACAGGAATATCAATGCTTCATTACACCCGAATATTCCGTGCGGAGGATCCAATTTTATTATTCATATATATAAATATAGCTTCGCATTTACAAATCGAGTATGTACTGAGTTGGCATCGTTTCTTTTTTTCGCTTCTTTTATTTCGATTCCAAAGAGATGGAGAGAGATTTTACTGCTGAAAATCCCATTGATTTTGATATTTAAATGCGTTCATGCAATTGAGTGCATCCGTACGATTAATATACAATACACACGCACACACAAAACCATATTATCAATCCGAATTGATGGAATATTCATTGTTCCGAATCAAAATGAATCACTTGAAAAACTGAATGCGTTCCATTCAGAAGTGAAACACATAATCACATTGATTTTCGGAAAATGCATAAAAAATAAATGAATTGCAATTCTCTTTTCATGTTCCATCTCATGGTGCAATCAATTCTGTAAATCAACAAAAGAAATATGAAAACTTTTTTATCTTAAAATCTTTATTTCGGCTGTTTTTGTTCTCAAAGTCATAATTTGCTACGTCCATTAACCCAGATATTTCAATGATAAATCCATAAAAGATGGAAACAGTTTATGTACATACATGTGCTTGTTTGTCTGATGCTGATTGGTGGTTTTTGTTTTGTTGTCGTTTTCTCGTTTCAGTGCCAAACGTGAGTTTTCGAGTGTATGCGCCAGGATTCTTTGCCAGATTTATGGAATCGCATGCAGTCATGTTTCAAGGTAACGCAGGATTGAAACCAAAAGAAGGAGAAGTCACATCGCGCCCGTGGCAATGGCCTATTAATTATCGGGTAAGCGCATTTGGGTAAACACTGCATATATGCTGCTGTACATCTGCAACACAGCAAAACATATTCAATATGGTACTCGAAGGTCACTCGCCTTCTCCCCGTTTTCCCCTTATCCCAAAGAAATTTCATGGCAGCGCATTATTTTTCACCCAGGTTGCACACATTATAACTCATGTCTCATGAATTGCTAGAGAGAAAAAAACCACCCAACTTGCGCTCAATGTTGAGCCAGAACAAAAAATCGATACACCATTTTTTTCTCCTCTCTACTTTCATTTTTGTTTTCCTCTCATTTATTTTCTATGTAAAACAGGGTCAATTCTTTTCTGGCAGTGCTTACCGCATCTACTTGCTCGGCAATCCTATTATCTGGTGGAGCAATTTGGTCTTTTTAGCCATATTTTTGCTGGTATTTTTCGTGTCGGCCGTTAAAAAGCAACGTGGCTACGAAAATAATTTCGAGAATAATGGTAACGTAGCGATAGAAAAACAGACCGAGAAAAAACATGCAACGACGACGACGAAAAATGAATGGTATTCGGAAAGCGAGAGTGAGAGAAAAAAACAGAAGCATCCAAAACGTAGCGCATGTACACGAAAGAAGAAAAAAAAATGTGTGTGAAAATAGCGGTGTTCACGCCAGAATGATGAAAGCGGAAAAGAGGAATCTATCTTCTAAGCTGGAAGGACGTTATACGATAATATGCCAATAAAAATTTTGTTTCAGCTGCGAATTTTTGCACATAAATTCTCTTGACACTCACATGAAATTGAAATTTACGGCCAAATACGAACGTACGCACACACACAACGAGAAAATCGCGGCCCGCAAAAATGAGAAGAAGAAAGAGAAGAAGACGAGAAAAAAAATGTTGAACGCGCGCGATATCCAAATGAAAAACAGCTGCAAAAACAAATTCAAAGTATGAGTGAGGGGATGGAAACCGAGAATGCCAAATGGGCAAAAACCATACGAACACAAACGCTCGAGGAAGAGAAAGAGGGAAAAAACGCAGAGCGAACACAGTGGAAATTCGCGTTGAAAAATTCAAGTTTATAAAATTTAAGAAGATGAATCCAGAGCATTTGAGGAAACACAAACCACTTTGAGCCATTGTATTCACTTGATGCGTCACTTCCGTTCGCAAGCAGAATGAGCAAACGAACAAGCGAGAAAAAAAAATGAAGTACGCGCCAATCTAAACGCCAATCCTAATAGCATGGCATGTGCGTGAGCAGAAAGCCCATCTCTTATGATTCAATAATAAATGATTTTGAATTTATTACGTCCCATTTGGTTTCATCATATCTCTCGCATCGAACATAAAACAAAAGCCCTGTGCACGGCTCATCTAAACATTACATGCGGTCTCAAGCTCCCAAATCGATGCTCGTATCTACTCTAATTTAGCATCATTGCTATTTTGAATCCACTTAAATCGCAAAAAATGCTAGTAAAAACGCACACAACAATGACACAAGGGAAAAAAAATACGAACGAATCGCATCCCGTCTATGTCAAATTTCCGAAAAACGACTGCGTTTGAATGAAATGCGGAAAACCATTTTCGCTGAAGTGATGTTGTAGTAATTTGATGTTTTCAATAATTTCATGGCTGTCAACGCTAATTTTAACGCATGAATTCGTGAAATAAAGCAAATTAGATCAATGATGTCACCACGCGCATCGAACATCTTTCGCCTTATTCGTTTGTATTGAAAAGAGAAGCCGAGCGTCTTTACATCATTTTAATCTGATGCTATAAATTGATGATAACCTTCCACAATCCGGTTTGAATTTTTAAAGGCCAATTGTCGCACATTTGGAGAGTTGTCGCACATTCAAACTCGAACTGAGAGTACTCTCTTTCTCATTGATTTTAGTTCCACTGAAGGAAGAAAAAAAACACAAACACATTCAACCTAAAGATAAAAATGGCGATTCGTTTGCCAAATGGACCAAAATGCTTATAAAACATGAAAAAATTGGTTTTGTACGGCGTCATGAATTTGGACACTTGATCGTTGCTGATTCATGTATGTTTTTTCCACTGTCTTTCAATCGAAACCAAATGTGCAAAAAAATTGGAAGCGGATCATTTCAGTCACATTAAGCTTATCGCTGAAGGAAGTTTGCTCGCAAACTGTGCCACGAATATTTAAGTGCTCGACCATCGACATTTGCCAGAGCAGTTTTCATGACGCCAAGAAGAACATACTTGCTAATATTTCTTATCTTCGCTATCGTTGTGATGCTTATTTCGTTGTTACTTCGCTTTTGCTCTCCGTCCGTTCATTTGCCGTTCACCCCGAGTGTAATAAAGATAATTTTTATGGGTTTAACTATTCATTTTTCAGAATCTACGGGGAAATCGCTGAAAGCATCGGTATGGCTGTTCATCGGTTGGCTGCTTCATTACGTACCATTTTGGGCGATGGGCCGTGTTCTCTACTTTCATCACTATTTTCCAGCCTTAATATTCAATTGCATGCTAACAGGTAACATTAAACTAGCTTCTAATCAATATAAAAACGAAACAAAACAAAAAATCTCTCTCTTCCTCACGCGCGTGCTTCTCGTTAAAGTTCAGTCCAATTTCCTTAATGTGTTACACGCTTGCATGCCACAATTGCTGGTTTTCGTTGTGTCGGATGTTGCATATTTTATGTTTATGCTCAAATATGTGTAAAAATATCACATTTAACCAAAAAGAACGATGATCGGTGCTCAAGAAAAGCGCCCATCAAAATGAATACAGATTTTGTTGAATGGCGAACGTAGCCAGGATTTCGTTCGCGCCAGCATTCGCACGCCACACGTAACGCTCTGTACAACATAAAAAAAATTGTCAATGTTATTTATGTGTTTTAATATAAATTTGATGTGGCGCAACCACCAAACAAAATGCCATCGTGCACTCAGGTTTTCATACGTGCAAATGTGCGTACAGAAGCCAAACTATTTGATTTTCATTCATTTTTTATTATGGCAAGAAGACAAATAGCTTCGTCTTCACTCAAACATTAACCATAGTCTGCGTGTGCACACTGAAGCTGGCGCGAAGTAGATCGGCTGCCGAGGATTTGTTATTGTTGTTGCTGCTACAGAACGTTAGAGTGAGGCAAGAAAAAAGCGACTTGATGCCCTGTTCATGTCTCGAGTCACTGACAGTTTGTGTTAACGTCGCCGGATTTTGTTGTCGGCGTGTCTTTTTTCATTCAGCGCCGCTTTGAGCTGAAGTCGTCTTCTCTAACGCGCGCGCGCGCGCTCGTACAAACACATTTCTTCACTTCGCACAATTTATGTATGTATTTTTCACGTCGTGTTGCATATTAATTTATTGTTATTAATATTAAGTAGTTGGTGAAAAAGCCACAATATTCGTTTGGGCTGTTACGTTTTTTTTCTCAGCCACAGTCCTTTTTTTTGACTTGTTGTGTTCGAAGCGGCATTTTAGATGTTTTTTTTCACTTGTCCTTCCTCTTTGATATGCACGACACGAAATACAATAAAATATCCTTGGTAACTTGGTGAAAGGTGAAGGTGCTGAGTCGCACCTAAAAATTCTCACATACACCACATTCTTTGCTTCGATTCCTTGGGGCGGCCCAAGACATTCATATATACATAAATTCACAGGAGCATAAACGAAATAAAAATCAACTGACGGACGTCATACAACATACAAGAAGAGAAACGAAAATGAACAGATGAGAAAAGAAGAGAGGAAGAAAAAACAAACACACGTCGAGCATGAGATAGAATATGAAAATGAAATGAGGGAAATTTCCTAACTACCGTAATGTAATCATGTATATTTGCGGTGCGTGCGAACGGTGGAATGTTGCTGAACTGACGAAATGTTATGATATGTCGTAACTTGTTATCTAATGCTAAATGTTTTACGTGTTTCCCTTCGTTCCGTTTTTCCGTTGAATGTGTGTGAAAATGTTGCGTTCGCTTGCCCGCATCCCACTCCACCCTGGTGGAAGGAAATGTGATGCAAAAACATACAGTCATTGCTCCGTAGCAGCAGCAGCAGCAGCAATGGTAATGATGATGTCGTTCATATCACCATCGAATCAATGGAGCTAAAAAAGCAATACGCTTTGTTCTTTTGAGGAAAACGAAACAGTACACACACACACAATACCATTCAGTTTCTGAGCTTTTGTGGCACTTTGATAACAAGCAATCATCGGTTTTTATGGGCGAAACGAGCATCGTTTAACATTTTACTGTGGTTCAATACCTATATACTACATTTCAGTATTCCATTGCATTCATCACAAATAAAAATTGACCGAAACAAACGCCGTGTGCACATTTTGAATCAGATTAAAATTTATGCGATATTTTCATTACATTTGACAACATTTTTTACGGCCAAACCACTCTCAATTCAAATGCGAAACGTTTGTTGGCAAAGAAAAAAAGAATTTTAAAGCTTTTCCAGTTTTTATGCTGTGCAATATGCGTGTGCCCCAGAAAGGTATATGATGTTTTTGCTTTCGTGGGGTCGTGTGCCATCAATCACAATTTATTACTTGATTCAGGCGACATTTGGCCACTCGAAAACTGGTAATAAAATGGAAAAAAAAATTGAAAAAAAGAGAATTTAATTGAATTTGAAACGAGTCGAAATCTCCTGTTGACCTAACGCTCTTATTTCCTTCCGATGCAATTTTATTGGTTGTTCGCGTTTTCTCTGTCTCTGTCTCTCTCACTCGGAAACAAGTGATAAATCAAAAAATGCAATTCCCAATGTGGAAATTCGGGTAACTGTAGAGAGAGAGAGAGAGAGAGAGAGAGAGAGAGAGTTTGGTAACGATGAAAATGCATTGCGTAATGAAGCTAACCCAAACATATCGCGTGCAGGCCACTCTTGAAAACACACATATTTTAACAATGAGATGCATTTGGTGGAAGTTCATGCCATCAGGCGCGTAAGGGGAAAGGGAGGAAGAGATACAGAGAAAAAAGGTATGCATTAATGACACAATCATGATTTTCAGGTCCGATGGTGTATTATTTGATTCAACGCTTGCCGAAATGGACGCAACATGCCGTCATCGGCACCACATTGGCATTATTGGCCTACAGTTTTGTGCTATTCTCACCGTTAGCATATGGAATGACCGGACCAACGGCTAATGAAGCAAATTCAACAATGTACAAATTGAAATGGTTGAACAGCTGGGAATTTTAGTGTAAACGCAAATACACGGACAAATATTTGGAAAAATTATTATGCAAAACCATTTTTTGCTTATATATCATAGCGTAAATATGCCATAGAACTAACTAATGACAACGTCAACGACAACACACAACTCTCTCACATACAGACACAAACTACTAGAAGCGTGTGTGATTCCCAATTTTAAATGTAAATTGAAAGAATAATCGCGTTTGTAATTAGGTTTTTGTACTTGAAATGCGATCGAAATTTTCAGATAGAAATAAATTAATGTTGTACAGGGAGCGAAGTATCTCCCTCTTTCTCTATATCGCGCATTGCCGTTCAATGTGTATGGGGCACTTTCGACGCCAATCGAAACACAATACTCATATTTATTTAACATAATTTATAAATAAATTATTAGCTAGATCGATAAGCAACAAAACACCGACGAACGGCTAAATGCATTCACGAACAGCGTCGTGTTTTTCCATTGGAATTTTTTTAGTTTTCATGTGCTCGAAACGTTTTTCCTCTCTAGTTCTAGTTGAATGTTTTGTAAGCTTTCGCAAATGCAACCTAGATTTTGGCGAGAATGTTATGTGCAATGTGCATGTTCAGGTTTCGAATAAATGTCATTTTATCTGTTGAGCTCGACAGTGCACCGCATGGCGCCGAGTTTAACACACACTCATCCCCCCATATACACGTCGCCGACAACCACATACACAATAGAATGCAATTTGAATGCTTGTTGATGACAACAACGATGGCAACAACAACACAGAAAATAGATTCGAAAATAAAACGTAGCGCTCTTCGTATTAACATTTGCTTTATTCCATTATAATATTCGAATTTGGTTCGCTAGCTAGAACAATACGACCATTGATTGCAAATGAAAATCCGTTTTTTATTATAAAAATTGTTATTACAATGCTTTTGTATTCAGGCAACGAAACGAAATAAATAAAATGTTGAACAAAACACCAACAAAATGTAATGAACGTTGTGTTTTTTTTTCTATCAATGCTTGTGTGTCGAGCAATAATGATTTTGCGGGCGAATAATGTGCTTTCCATATAATGAGTTTTAATTTAGAAAATGATTGAATCGATAATGGTTAACATTGCTCCGCACAACGTTTTTTGTATTTACTGGATTTTATTTCATCGAATTACAAGCACCACACAATAATTGCAACAAATAAACAAAGCTGATTTGATTCGAAGTCACACACGGCATATTTAACGTTCTCTCTGTGTGTTTATGCCATAACCGACAAAAAGTGCGAGAATGGAGTTTGGGTTTTTGTACCGACCCCACATGGAAATGTGCTGTCATAGACACATTATGCACCATCCGGATAATATCACGTACTCATATCCAACACTACTCCGCGTAATCGATTTAAATTCCGTTTTTCACTGCGCTGCACTCGACAGCGATAGCATTAGCTTCCGTTGGATTGATTTGAAGATAAGATGTTGTGTTTTTGACACATACTTGAAATCCTAGATGAAAATGATCTAACCGACGACAAAGAAAGCGAACGCGCACAAGACGACAAATTACTTTGGATTACACACTGCAAGTGGCGTACAACCAATGCGAAGCTGAAAAAAAATGGTTGAAGAAGATTGCACCAATCGAATTGAAAGGAAGCGAATTCGACGTCACTTTTCTTGAAGAGAGCAGCTTTTCTCTATTTTTTTTCCAAAGAACAGTCTTGCTGTAAGTACTGTTTACTTCAAAGCAGTAAACTTTTTTCATCCACTTCGTATAAATAATTATTGAACAAATTGCGGGTAAGTAGAAATTGTCGATTTCATTCCTGTTATTAACGTCAATTCAGAATATCGACTCAAAAATGTCCCAGCGAAACAAATCTTTTAGATTTGGATTTTTGGAATTCTATGCAAAGTGGTGTTTCTTTTAGATTTTAGCTGAAATTTAATTGAAATTTGTACCATGTGGAAATGGAAACGTGCCCAAAAGGTATATCATGTCATGTTATTAAATGGAATTTGGCATTTTAGTGAAATCAAGTGAAAAGGAAGCACGACTGAATTTTGATTCGTGTATTGATTTAACTCGGCCAAATGAAGTCATCCACTTTTGACTCATTTATATGGCAATTACACTGCTTATTTGCTTGTAATTTAATTTTCACATTTGTGACGCATGAAAATTACCTTTTTCCACTTGCAACGAATGCAAATCAATGAATAATTAAATCGAATGCATTAATCAGTACGAGAGTGTCTGGCAATTTGACGTCAACCGATGGCAAAAAAAAGTGTGCAGCAAGGTGCAGAGCCATTTGGTTCGGAGTAGCTGACATTTTACAGGGTTCAGAGATTTCAAGTAGTCTAACTTGAAATTTTACGAATCAATTGCAAAGTTCAAACATTTTGACGGGATCTTCCGGCATATTTATGCATGAGAGCACAAACACTTGTTCAATTGCAGACGTTGCTGTGCGTCAACCAGTAGGAAATAATGAATTTAATAACATCACACGCGTTTCATTCCATTTCGTGTTCGGTTCAGTGCCGGTTCTCTTTCTCACGACATTTCCATAATTAGTTCTATCACTCTGTATAAAGAGTGAGCGCAAGATTCGTTTAAAAGGCACTTTACCGTGCCATCGAAGGGAATCAGAGAGAGACATAAAACACTCATTTGGAGAGAAAATGAGAGAGGGAGAGAGAGACGCAATTGGTGTGTGTGCGCGCATTATCGCTTAATTTGCTTTCGCTAACAGGATTCTTGCGCTTTCATCTCGCAATTTGCTCACTCATTCACAAAGCAACGGCAAAACAAGTATACATTAGTTCACTTATTTCCTCTTTCTTTTTAATGTACACTCCATTAAAAATTTAAAAATCGAAAGAATTTTGCCGCTGACAATTCTGAATGCACCCAAAGTGTATTTGTGAGTAGTGCTTTTAGAATGCGTGCGTTGGGCGTCGCAATGTCGACTCAACATATTTAGGAACAGAGACGCACACAAGACGGATTCATCGCGCTCATTCAACTTGATTTTGACATGGCTTGTGCAACGACTAGAGAAGTAGGCTCATTTTCATAAGTGAATATTTTGCTCAAGAACAGGTCGAGAGTCTCTCTCTCTTTCCTTAGCAAGAGACTGCCTCAATTCCGTTCAACGAGAACACATTTCTCGGTGCTGCAAATTCAATGGTGAAAAGCTTCACTTCTTCGCTTCTTCAATCCGTTCAAGAACAACAACAGTCAATTGAGAAGCGCTCATTTACAAATACACACACTCTCTGTGTGAATTTACGTATGCAAATGAAGTCATCATCCGCTGTTGCTTGTTCTGAACAGGATACTGAACTCGACGAACGCGCGACACTATGCATTTGATTATATTTGCATATGTAGACCTTTCATACTGACAGAGATACTTTTCCATTTTCATGGAAATCGCACCGTTTTGACAGATGCGTGAATAAACCATGTTTTTCCGAGAAAAATGTATGTAAATGTAAAGTGTGTGAAACTTTAGCATACAATAAAACACACTTCACTACTTCCTTCCAATATCATTATACTCAATGCGCTCTCCGAAACTGAAAGAAAAGACCAAAAATTGAATTAAATGCTCTGCAAGTTAGTTAGTATAAACCAAGACAATTAGATCTGAAATGGAACACAACTAGCCAACGTTGGCCAACAATGTAAACGCCAACGGAAGTTTGAAAAAAACAGCTAAAATTGTATGTACTTCAACAAAGTTTGTGCAAAACTAAAGGAAGTAAATGTTAACACGAATAATGTCGAAATAGTGAACAAAATCTTTCCATTTTTTCTTCACTTTTCTTGCTTTTTTTCTTTCTTTTTCTCACTTGAAAAATCAATTTCGAGCATCCATTGGAGATCATTAAAATGGTAGGATTTGTAAATAGATTATTTACGAGTCAATAGAGTTGCATTTATTCGTTGCACTTCACTTGAGCTTCCCAGTTAAATCGCATAAAGTGATGGAAGTATTTGCACAGCTGCTGTGATTCCAGCGAAAGAAGAATTGAGTAGTTTGGAGCGAAAATGTAATACAGAAATGTTGCGCGGGAAAAATGTCGATGATGAATGAGTGAAAGAGGGATAGCTATATAGTATACTGTATAGTAAACTATAGTGAACTATATAGCTATCTCTTTTCATTTGATATTTTTCCGCGCAACTTTTCTGTATTACATTTTCGCTCCAAACGACTCAATTGAACTATAAAAAAGTGTTATTGATGTTTCTTTCTGTTTTCCGTTTTTTTATGTAAGTAATTCTGGTCAAAACTTTGCTTATTACGGGTGTTCTTGAGGAAAATACGGTTTTCGTTATTCTCAATTTCCAACGTACATTTATATTCATTTTTTTTCTTCAAACTATTCAGTTCAACAGTTAAAACGAATGAATGGAATGGAGCTATTTTCGTGTTTGTGAAGAGCCATTTTGATGAGCTTCATTTCGTGAGAAGTCATTCAAATTATTTGAAAAAACATAAATTTCTCATCATATTTTTCAGTCTTTTGCTTGCTCATGACAATTTGTCATCTGGTAGTCGTATCGCTTGTGTTCCCACCTACATTCATTTACAAGCACCGCCACTGATGTTGCGCCCATCACATCCACTTGCAAGTACGAAAATGCTTTCATATTTTGTGTTATTTCATTTCAATTGCGCTTCAAGTGGTTTTCTGTTTTCAAACGCGCGTTTCCCATAGAATATTCCGCTTATAAAATGTAATGAACATTTCCACCCGACTTCTTTGAGATCCGTAATAAGGAGGTAATTTATATTTGCGCGAGAGCATTTTTCACGCAGCACGAAAATGCGATAGAAAATGTGAAATGTTCAAATTATTTATTCAATGGACTTCAGTGGAAAATAGCCAGACACTCAATACTAGTTGGATTTCAGTGCAGTTGGTACCAACTATTTATTCAGACTCTTAGAATTGATACAATTTACAAGCGTATTCCCGGGTAGATTTGTAAATGTACAAAATGCTGGATGGGATTTCGTGGTGAGTCTTTCATTTGTTGTGATATTGAGATCGGAAATGTACTTAATGAGCTTTATGATACAGTTTTATTTCGTTTTTCTGGTCGAACGCAAAAACCTCTTTGAACGTGGCGTGGAAAGTGTTTTGATAAATGCTATCGTCATGATGATGATGTTGATGATATAGCTTGAAGTGAAACTAATTTAAAATTGATCATTCCAACATTCAAACCAAAATACCGCCCCTGGAATCGTCTCGAAACACTATTTCGTTTGCGATGAAAAGTGAGACACAAATTGATGGTGTGAATGTCTCTCGCGTGCACACACATAGACACACACAGAGAGAGAGAGAGAGAACTCGCGTTCAAACCATTAGTGGCATTGCTGCACTGCATTGCATTCACTTATCTCTAATTCGCCAGAAAACAAGCACAATTGATGTGATGGCAAACAGCATAAAACGCACAAAAAATTGAAACAAAGAACATTTCTGTCAACTGCTAACATTGCAAAGCACATAAAATCTATAACACATGCTTCACTGCGATTTCCCTCATCAATTTCGTTCATATCAACTTTTGTTGTAAGTTGTCGTGCATGCAACACGTTTTCCTGCACTTCGACCGACAACTAGTTTCTTTTTGGTGTATTTCGGTGCGGTTTTGAAACTCTGTGATTCGAGAGAAAAACTTGTCAGTTCTCTTTTGTCGAGCATTTTCGTCTTCATGCTGGTGATAGTTTATGGTGGTTGCGATTTCCTTACTTTTGCGTAATTCCTTCCATTCGTTGTTTTGCTATAAGTTTGATGTGCCATGTGCCATGTGATAATGTCCAAAATGACAAGAGCGATGGAAAAATAAAGAAAACAAAAATTAATTTAAAAACCAATATTTTCACCGCATTGAAGTGCGTGTTTACAATCAGAAGCCAGAGCGCAACGAGAACGAAGTCAACGTCAAAATGGGAGAACGCAT